GCACGCACGCTCGCTCGCTCGCTTGCTCACTCGCTCGCTCGCTCACACACACACACACGTACGCACGCACACACGCACGCACGCATGCATGCATGCATGCACGCACGCTCACACACGCACGCACGCACGCATGCACGCAAGCACGCGCGCACGCACGAACGCACGCACGCACGCACGCACGCACGCACACACACACACACAACGAAAAACGCGCGCACACACACACACACACACACACACACACACACACGCACACACACACACACATTCGCATGCGACTTTGGCGCCGCAGCCACTCGCGCGGCGACGAGTCGCAGGTCGAGGCAGACGGGCGCGCGCGGGCCAGGCCAGCGCGTGCTCTTTGTGGTGTCGCTGCCCCGCGCGCGGCGACAGGGCGTAGAAAGTCGAGTGCAAGCTGCGGAATCTCTTGAAGCTCACGCACACTTTTTTGGCGTCGCGGCCCCGCGCACGGCGAGAGGGAGTAGAAAGTCAGGTGCAGGCAGTGAAGGGCGCGAGCTCACGCACACAATCGCACGCGTGCACATTCGAACTTGCACGGGCATTCCTGCAGCACTGCATGCAGCAGCATGAATCCGTGCTGGCTTCAACGCCCCAGGAGGTGCGTGGTGGCAGTACACCACGAAGGAGTACGCCCTGGCGAAGGCGACTCCGGTGGCGCACGGGCATCAGGTACAGCTGCTGGTGACAGATGGCCCGTTCGCAGGCACCCGGAACCCGATGTATTTGGGCATGATGTCAATGTTTTGGGGCCTCAGCTTGGCAAGGCTTTGGGGTGCACGCAGAAAGCCCCCGAGGAAGTTCGAAGAAGAATCAGTGACACAATCATGGACTACCGCAGCTCCGCGCGGATTTCTTGCGCGCGGGGAGGTCTGTCCAGTTGCCGATCCGAGAACATTGGGTGGACCTCCGAACGCTTGTGTTCATGCATTCCTTCCTCCGCGCGGCCGCCCTTTGCCCCTTGCTCCCCCTCCTGCGTGCCGGCCAGCTCGCCTTTCGGTCGCCGCTGACGAAACGGCTCATGCGTCCCTTCTTCGTTCAGGCCTCGGGCCCCGAGAAGCCCTGGGCCGGTCTCCGCACCTCGCCGCCGCCTCCAGCGGCGCTCTTCTCGGGCGCAGCCGCGCACCGGGCGGGGGCGAGGAGGCCGCCCTGGGCCACTCATCGGGAGGCGCTGCGGAGGGCCCAGCGGGGCCGCCCGTGCGCGGCCCCAAAGCCCTGCCATCGCAGCTTCCTCGACAACACCTGGTGGGGCCACGTCCTGTCGGTCCCGTGGGCGGCCTACGTGTGCGGCTACGTGGTCCCGCTCGAGGAGGCCTATCCGGCGTGCCTCGCGGCCCTCCGCAAGGGGGCGACGAGGGCCCCGGCCGCAGGTGCGGCCAGCCACGGGGACATCCCAGGGCAAGTCGTGGCTGCTCATGCTCCTCCCTCTCCCTGCATAGCTTCTTTCAGAGGGGCAAAAATACCGATGCCGCCACTGCTCGCCCGTTTTCCTCTTTGTTTTCGGCCTCCTCGGAGGCCCTCACTGCCACCGCTGGATTCGCCTCGAAATCCTGGTCAGAACACACTCCGGGTGAGGTCCGGGGAGTAGCAGTATCGGTGCCTTTCGGTTTCCTCATTCTTGCCTCGAGGCCGGAGTAGGCAGGGGGGAAGAGAGTGCGCCTTCTGCTCCGCACTCCTGTTCGCCCCCCCCCCTCCCCCCTTCCCCCGCTGGCTCCCTCCCTCCGCATGCTCCGTGCCTTTCCCCTTTCCTGCCTCCTCCCCAGGCTCCAGACGCCATGATTTTTGTTCACATCGTCGACCCCTGGAGTTAAATCGGGCGTGTCCCTCTACAGGAGGAATATTCCAGAATAGTCAAATTACCCTGGCGACGTACCCAACCCCTGCGCAATGCAGGGCACGAGTAGCCTGGAACACATTATACAGAGGTGATGACGTGACATGGGCACATAATTCTGCGAGCGGAATTCGTGAGGCTCGCAGCCCCCCAGGGACGGCGAGGTCCCGCTCAGATCTGCGCAGTGCCTCACTCTGCTGGACCCGCCAGCAGCCTTCGAAAGTGTCGACAGTTCCGCAGATCGCAGCCCCCCAGGGACGGCGAGGTCTCGCTCAGATCTGCGCGGTGCCTCACTCCCCTGGACCCACCAGCAGCCCTCGAAAGTGGCGACACTGAACAGATCGCAGCCCCCCCCCAGGGACGGCGAGGTCTCGCTCAGATCTGCGCGGTGCCCCACTCCGCTGGGCCCACCAGCAGCCCTCGAAAGTGGCGACAGTTCCGCAGATCGCAGCCCCCCCCACCCAGGGACGGCGAGGTCTCGCTCAGATCGGCGCGGTGCCTCACTCCGCTGGACCCACCAGCAGCCCTCGAAAGTGGCGACAGTTCCGCAGATCGCAGCCGCCCCCCCAGGGACGGCGAGGTCTCGCTCTGATTTGCGCGGTGCTTCACTCCGCTAGACCCACCAGCAGCCCTCAAAAGTGGCGACATTTTCGCAGATCGCAGCCCCCCACCCAGGGACGGCGAGGTCTCGCTCAGATCTGCGCGGTGCCTCACTCCACTGGACCCACCAGCAGCCCTCGAAAGTGGCGACGGTTCCACAGATCGCAGCCCCCCCCCCCCCAGTGACGGCGAGTTCTCGCTCAGATCTGCGCAGTGCCTCACTCCGCTGGACCCACCAGCAGCCCTCGAAAGTGGCGACACTAAACAGATCGCAGCCCCTCAGGGACGGCGAGGTCTCGCTCAGATCTGCGCGGTGCCTCACTCCGCTGGACCCACCAGCAGCCCTCGAAAGTGGCGACAGTTCCGCAGATCGCAGCCCCCCCCCAGGGACGGCGAGGTCTCGCTCAGATCTGCGCGGTGCCTCACTCCGCTGGACCCACCATCAGCCCTCGAAAGTGGCCACACTTTCGCAGATTGCAGCCCCCCCAGGGACGGCGAGGTCTCGCTCAGATCTGCGCGGTGCCCCACTCCGCTGGACCCGCCAGCAGCCCTCGAAAGTGGCGACAGTTCCGCAGATCGCAGCCCCCATCGTCGGCGAAGAGAGGGCAGGAGGAGGCGGGAGGCGGGAGGAGAAGGAGGGACGCGACCACAGTGCTCGATTCAAAATGAATACCCAACCAAGGAGGGTTGGGAAAAATAGTATGGGGACTATTTTTTAGTTAATTTAGCCATTAGGGGGCATTTTTGGGGTACTTTTTTATTTATCGTCTAAAATCCCCCTGTAGGGGGACAGGCCCGACTTAACCCTGGAGGTCTGGACCGACCCCTTCCCCGGGCACGGTTTCTCATCCTGAACAGTTTTTGGACGGTCCCGGGGCCCAGGAAGGGCCCCCAGAGGCTGGACATAGCCGACAGGCCCCGTCGCGACTTGTGCACAGCGCGAGGGGGTGTGGGTCTTCTGCCTGCTCCCTGCCCTCCCTCCTTCCCCTCCTCGCTCCCTTCCTCGGCACGTCTGGAACCTTCAGACGCCAACATCAACGCCAGCGCCAAGATCAACGCCTGCGCCTGCGCCGGCACCATCGCAAGCACCTGCGTCAACGCCGACACCAGCACCGACTCCGGCACGTGCGCCAGTCCCCACACCAGCGCTGACACCAGCGCAGACACCAGCGCACTGGTGAGCTGCGCGGCTCACTGGGGCCCCAGGTGCGCACGCTTGCTTCTACGCCGGCGCCGACGCCAGCACCGACACCAGCAGCAACGCCGGCACCGACGCCGGTACCAACGCAAGCGCCTATACCAGCGCCGACGCCAGCACTGACGCCAACACGAGCACCAGCGCCTAAACCAGCGCTGCGGCCACCACCGACGACAGCGCGCTGGTAAGCTAATTACCCGGGCCACCGGTGTCCCAGGAACGCACGCCGGCGCCTACGCCAGCATCACACTGTTTGGCACCGAAATTCGTGACATTGTCGTTGCGTCTGGACTTGCAGATGCGGATGCTGGCTCCGAAATTCATGACATGCTCGATGCGTCCTGCAGCTCCTGCGGATCCGACGCAGAGTCCAAATGTCACGGAGTTGGTGCGTGACGGAATTCTGCCCCACCTATCGTGTGACGCCACGCCTGCATCAGCGCCGACACCAGTACCGACGCCAGCATCGACGCCAGCGCCTCCACCAGCACCGACGCCAGCACCAACGATGGCGCCGACGTCAGCACCGACACCAGCACCGACGCCAGTACTTGGGCCTGCGCCCACGCCAGCACCAACGCCAGCGCCTACACCAGCGCCGACGGCAGCATCGACGCTAGCAGCAAGGGTGCACAGGTGAGCTGCCCAGCTCACCAGTGTTCCCTCCAGCCTGGTCGCTAGTACCAGTCCAAACACCAAGCCCGACTCCCCCACTCCGACGTCCAACACCGACGCCGGCACCGACGCCAGCACCAACGCTACGCCAGCAAACATGCTAGTGCCGATGCCAGCATCGACACCAGCACCGACGCCAGCATTGCAATCGCATGCACCAGCGACAACGCCAGCACCGACGCCAGCACGAACACCAGCGCCCACCCCAGCGCCGACGCCAACCCCGACACCAGCGCACTGGAGCTTACGCCAGCGCCGACGCCAGCACCGACACCAGCATCAACACTTGCGCCGACGCCGGCACCAACGCAAGCGCCTACACCAGCGACAACGCCAGCACCGGTTCGTGAGTGGCACGTTTGGTCCGCCCCACCGTCTCCCCCTGGTGGCCCCACGCCTGCGGTGGCAGGGGACCGCTCCGTTCTCTAGTGGTGCGGTGCTGCTGCTAGTGGTGCGGTGGTCCGTCCCCCCGCCCCTCGCATCCCGCGTTTGCTTTTACTTCTCCTCCTGTGTCGATCGGTCGCGCGTGATTTAATTTATATAGTGCAGACGGGCTCTTTGCCCAGCTCGAGGCGCCCGCCCACTCAGAAGCCTCTGCCCCTCCGTTCCGCGGGGGTTCGACGCCGCTAGTGGCTTCGGTGCGCCACGATCGTCCTACCAATCCCCTTCTTCAGTGTTCCTTGCTCCCGATTGGGACTGTTAGTGCTGCTCCTCTCGCTACCCTTAGATCGGCATTGCACTGTTTCACTGGCTGCGCTGAGTGGGGTCGCGCACGTCTCTCGGCTTCTCCTCCCTCCTTCTGCGCCTCCTTCTGTGGCCAGTACTTTAATTTTCCTGGTCGGGGCCAGAGTAAAGCAGTCGGCGTGTGGGACAGCCGAAATGTTGGCGGCTGTGCTACCCTCTCTTCCTCCTCGGCCTCCTCCTCCTCCTCCTCCTCCTCCTTCTCCTCCTCTTTGCGCGTGCGTGTACACCACTTCCCCGCGCACGGCCGGGGACGACGTCGCTCCTGCCCGTGCTGCCGCCTCGCTAGGGTCGCATCGCTGAGTGCGACGGATGTATTCGGGACGAACATTTATAAACGTCATCGGCGTGCGCTGAAACAAAAATCCTCGGCACGTCTGGAGTTCCCTGAGAGTTTCGCGGCACGTGTGTAGCGTTGCTCTCAGCTTGGGCAGAGCGGGCGGCGATGCGAGTCGCTGACGGTGGGAGTGGCCACGCGCGTGTGGCATCCTAGCAGAGTCCAAAAGAGTTCTCGCTCCTTTCAGCCCTCTTTCCTCGCCCTCCCCGTGCCGCACGCCCACCCTTGGTATGGCTCATTTCGGATCCTCCGATCCGATTCGATTTCGATGGCTCCCGACTCCGATCCGGCTCGACTTCGTATTCCGATTCCTCATCGCAGGCTTGCTGTCCTGTCGATTTCCCGCCCATTCGATTTCTCCCGGCTCATCTGCCGATTTCCGCCAATCCGATTCGTTTCGATTGCCGAACGATTCGATCCTGGGCTTTTCTGCTTGGCACCCGAAGCGCCCCCCGCCCCGCACCCCCCTCGGATAGGGCCCACGTTGTGGGAGGCGGGTCGCCTAAGTCATTCCCAGGGGCACGAAGATATTCATCGGTCGTTGAAAGTAGGTACTTCAGGAGTCCCAGGTTCCAATCTACTTTGAGCGCCTTCCTTTTTCAATGATTGAGTTGCTTCCCCTTGTTCGTCCTTCTCGGAGGGCGCACGGAACCTAAGCTACTTCCAACGCCTTCCGGCCGAAGGGTAGTCGCGCGGCGCTCGTCGCGGCCCCTGGGTTGCAGAAGCGCCCTTCTCCGTGGCCGTGGCGCGAGGGCGCGACGAATGCAGCCGCGCACCTCGCGTTGCGCGAAATACGCGGCACCGGGTGACTCCACGGGAAGCCGGGGCCCCAGCATGCCACACACCCCGCCAGCATCGCAACCGTTTTCTTATGCCTTGGTTTGCCGATCGGCGCGGGTCCTCGCGCCCCCCCTTCCCCCTCCTCCCCCCCATGGAGGAGGGGTCTCCCCCATAGGACGCATTGTTGCACACAGTCGCATTAAGCAGAGGTCCAGAGCCAGACCCCCACCCTCCCCCTCCCTCCTTTCGCTCAGTGTCGACACGCCGAATCAGAAAACGTTCACCATGGTGATTCGGGGCGGTCGTGCGGCCGGCTCCATGCCGCGCGTGCCGAGAGTGGGGCGCGGTGTTGTTCGCGTAAGTTTGGTTGGTGCTGAAGTCTTCAGCATCGTCGAATCGATCCCCATACTTGCCTGACTATGGTATCCCAGCCCCGCCAGCCTACCCCCCTAGGTGGGACATGTCCCGCGAACGCCGAGGGGAGCAGCATACATGATCCAGGGTTGCCCCGCCCTCCCCCCCCCAAATGCATGGTGATCGAGCCCCCCCCCCGCTGGATGGGTGCCCTCGTGAGCCTCGCGACGGCCTCGCGAATGGGATCGCCCTCCTCCCCTGTGGTCGTGGCCCTGTGGGTGAGGCATGGTGGAGGATGCGGGTGCACTCCCCCCCTGCCCCTGTGGGTGTGAGGTGGTTCGTCGTCGTCGACGTCGTCGTCGTCGTCGTCGTCGCCGTCGTCTTCCGTCGGCGTCGGCGTCGTCGTCGGCTGCGTCGGCGTCGGCGTCGGCGTCGTCGACCCCCCCAAAAGCCCATCGGGGAGGGGGGCGTGTGAACCCTCGATCCAGGATCATATATTTCCATCGGGTGGGGAGGGGCCGGAAGTCTCCTGGCGTGGCCAAGCCATGCCGGAAGGATGGGCTCCTGAAAGTTTATGCCCATAAGTCCCAAGGGTGGGCGCACACAAGTGTGGGTTGGTGGACAAACGCCTGAGACAGTTCTAGGACTCCCAGATTGGGTCGGAGCACGCGGGGTCGGAGGAACGCGCCGCATCGCCGATGCATCTACGATGCATCGTCGATGCGTCCCGGTGTGGAGCCCGATATTCTCCCCGCCGAAGTCGCCGACGCGTCGCCGATGAATTGCCGATGCATCGGCGTTGCATCGCCGATGCATCGGAGATGCGGGGCGATCATCGGACTCCATCTACTTCGACCCTATCTGGAAGGCCTCTACGCCACGCAGCTATCAGCCACGGCCGTGTTACGGTCCACAGAGGGAGGAACGAATCGTCCAGCACCGTCGTGCAGGTCTTTAGGGCGGCATCGGTACACCTGCACCGATCTTGGGTTATGAAGTTCCAACCCTTTTGAGCCTTGCTTACGAGAAATAATCTCGAGGACCAAGAGAGTGCCGAAACTGGAGGGTTTTCAGGTCTTGGGCCCTGGGAGGCGATACTCGTTCGAAACTGTTTCGATACTGTTCTGGGTGCTTGAAATTATGTTTGGGATGTGGTCCTGAAGTGCGATGGGAGCAACATGAATCATGGGCCGGGATAAGCCTGACCAGGATCGGTGCAGGTGAGCGGGAGGTCCGCGCGGACTTCCGGGATCGGGGCGGCACCTCCCTGGCGGCGTCTGCGGAACCGCCCCCTGACGCGCTCCGGGCGCCAGGGAGGAAGCCCCCCGCCGACCCGCGAGCTCCGTGCGGTCCTCCGAGTGGTTTTTTTTTTTTTTTTTTTTTTTTTTTTTTTTCGGCTCGATGTCCAGTCGGACGCAGCCGTCCGCCCTCCGAGTGGTTATCCTTCCTCCTGCTCCTGTGCCTTCTGATCTTGATTGGATGGGGGGAGCGCGCAGACAGGCAGATGTTCATTGTCGTTTCATGCGCTGTGCACGTTTGTCTTCAGGTTCATGCTGCAAGCATCACGTTCCACATCGTCCATCCTCACATCTGTTTGATTACCACCCACCTCCCCTACCACCTCTGGGGGGACAGGCAGTGCGGTTCGTGAATCCGCCCGCACGGATTGCTGGGTTGCGACTCTGGCGACCATCGACCTCCGACCCCATCAGCTCACTGGTTCTTCCTGTACCGAGTGTATGCCCTCTGCTTCCCTCCGCGTCCGCGGCCGCCCTCTGTTTTTCCAACCGCTCTAGTGCACTCCGTGCCTGGCGCGGCCCGCTGGTCCCGAAAATGCCAGGAAAGATGCTTCTCAGACCCCCAGCGTCGTGACTTCCTCACAGCGTCGACCCCCAGAGGTCTGGACCCCGTCCCCGGGACCGGCTTTTCGTCCCGAGTCGTTTCCGACAGTCCCGGGGCCTGGCAAGGGCTCCCTGGAGGCCGAGAGTAGCAGAAGCCTCCCGTCGAGGAGGAGGAGGAGGAGGAGGAGGAGGAGGAGGAGGAGGAGGAGGAGGAGGAGAGGCCGAGGGTCCTGCTCCCTCTCCAGCCCGCAGCGGGGGGAGCGCCCGCGCCGCGCTCCCCGGCGGACCTCGCGGCCCGCTTCCCGGAGCAGTGGGGCGCCTACCGCGGCCGCACGCCCCGCTGGCTGTGGTGACCGCCGCGCCGCGGGGCGGGCCGCCAAAAGGGTCCCTTCCCACCCCCTCCTCGCCAGCCCCCGCCTCCCCATCCGCCCCTGCCTCCCCCTTCCCGCCCCCCTCCTCCCTTCCTCCACTTCCTCCCTCTTCCTCCCCTTCCTCCCCTTCCTCCCACTTCCTCCCCCTCCTCCCCAGCGAAGATTTGGGTCTGATATAGGGCATGAGTAGTATCTGTTCTTATCAGTTGAAAGCATGGCTTTGCTTCGTTTAGAGGACTGTATGACTGTAATAACACCGGGGCTCAAGCTCTTTCAAAACAGAGCGATCTCCGCTCTGGTAGCGGAGCCGCCCATCGGGCGGCGCGCGCGGCCCCGCCCCGCCAGGCCGCAGCCGCGATATACTTCGTGGACAGCGCTACCGACAAGGTCAGCAGCGCGACCGACAAGGTCAGCAGCGCTACCGACAAGGTCAGCAATACTACCGACAAGGTCAGCGGCATCCTCATAGAGGACATATTTCAGTATCCGATCATCGACGGCTCACGGCTTGGTGGGAACGCTTCGCTCTCGAAGTGGAAGACCATCTTAGACGAGAGCTACATTACACCTGGTAAAGTATACGGATATCCGATCACTCACACTCGGTCAAGTCTACGACAACCGATTGACGTACACCCGGTGAAGTTCAAGACAGTCTACAGCCAGTTCATTGTGAAGTTCAAGATAGTCTACAGACACCTCATTGTGAAGTTCAAGATAGTCTACAGACATCATATTGTGAAGTTCAAGATAGTATACAGACATCATATTGTGAAGTTCAAGATAGTCTACAATTACCTCATCGAGAAGTTCAAGATAGTCTACGGTCGACATCATGACGGACTACTCAAGACCTCAGACTCTGCCCTTGGAGGAGAGTACACGTCAGATTCCTCCCGGCTGGAAGCCGGGCATTCCGAAGTACAGCGTGAAGAAATACCTACAAAAGTTGTCGCTGTGGTGGAGAACCAAGAACGTCGACGACGACGGAGTGGCAGCTCTTCTCGTGTTGCAGCGTCTTCAAGGAGGAGTTTATAAGCAAGCGTTGAGGTTCAAGGTTGAACGGGATGGTAGAGAGTACATTGGAGAGAATGCATTCGCCTTGGAAAGAACGGAAGCAGATGAGCTACACGGAGTACAAGCACATCCCTCAGGTCTCTCTCTCTTCACTCGTTGGCTTGAAGGCGAGTACGGGCTGCACGATCAAGACACCGTCGGAGTCGCACTCGACAAATTCTTTTCATTCAAGAGAGGGCCCCGAGATCTCGGGCAATATATTTCAGATTTCGAACTTGTGTATGATGAAGCGGCAGACCAAGCAGGACTCAATATCAACGCAGTTGGACGGAGTTACTTGTTGCTTCAGGGATGCGACCTCTCTATCAAGAAGGTCGACGACATCAAACTCAAGATCGACGGGGACCTCAGACGGTATAATGACATCAAAGCTATCATGACGCGTCTCGCCAAGCAGTCACTGGCTCAGAACAACCCAGAACAGTACGAAGGTTTCTGGGTCGACTCAGATGAAGAAGAATACTGGGATTACTACGGCTACTACGACGACTACGGCCAGTGGCAATATTACGAGGATGACGAGTGGTGGGACGAGGAAGAACAATATGACGAACAGTATCCTCCACCCAGGACCTCAGCAGCAGATGATGAGGCGTACAAGGGATCCGGCAAGGGCAAGAAAGGAAACCCAGGCAACTGCAGCAAGTGCGGCTCTAGATGGCATCGATCTGAAGACTGCCCGGCCGGAGGCAAGAAGGACACCAAGAAAGGCGACGACAACAAAGGGAACGGCAAGAGCAAGTCGGACTCGACCAACGGCAAGGGCAAGTATCGTGGCGGAAAGAGCCGCGGTCGAGGCAAAGGACGAGGAAAAGGTTACCGTGGCAGAGGCAAAGGCAAAGGCAAGAAGAGCAAGGGCCACTATGGTGATGACTACGACGAGGAGTACTACGACGATGATTGGGACTGGAGTACCACTTACGGCAGTTGGTATGCGACGAGAACCAAGACACAGAATAAGGATGCGCTGTGGACCTTCAACAATCGAACAGAAGCCCATCATGGTTCATCCTGGTCTTCACTGCAGACAGTACCCTCCTACAGCCTGGACGACCCGGAGTCACCAGACATGGGACAAGGATTTCAAGAGACCTCCTCAGCGTCAGCATCGAAACCCACCTCGGCTCCTTCGGCACAGGCAGCAGGACCAGCATCACCAAGACCGACTCGGAGAGCTCCGACTAAAGACTTTATTTCAGACATGGGCTCTCCGGATCATGCCTCTACCTTCGACAAAGACGAGGAAGCCGAACCCCGTCGCCTACCTCGCGGAATCGTTCCTGGAGGCCTGGATTTCCTCGTCAGAGAAGTTCAGAACTTGTGCTACGAAGATCAAGCATCACAGCAGAACAATCACAACGTGCACGAAGTCAACACGAGCTATCATTCTATCAAAGGCACTAAAAGGTTTGGTCTGCTTTACGATCCCGGTGCATCGTCAGGCATCATCGGCACGGACACGGCACGGGAATATCAGCAGGAGATTCTCGGCGGCGCAGAGATCGAATCCAGACCAACCCGAGCTCAGTTCACGGGCATCGACGGCAAGCCGACACCCGGCATCGGCAAGGCAATCTTACCACTACGCATCCCAGCCATGAAGGACGCAACGTTCACGGGAGACATGATCGGAGGCATGGGAAGCTGGTGCCCGGCTCTGATGCCACTGCCAACCTCGATCAGATACAGGGCCATTATGTTCTCGGCGATGTTCGACAACGGTGACGGCATCCTGGTGATTTTCCCTGACAATCGACGACTTGGCAATCGAGCTACACCAGTGTATATCAGGCTCCTGTTGACAGATTCTCGACACTACATCATCCCGACGGACAACCAGCATATCCGAGAAGAAGTTGATCAACAATATCTTCATGGAGTTCTTCTGGAGCATCTTCAAATATTCTGGGACTTCAAACCATCCCGCTCTGGAGGCAGATCGGCGGAGTTTCAAGTGGACACAGCACCCGCGGACACTAGCACCGGAGCGAAGTCATCGGCTTTTTCGGGCATGAGCAGGGATGCGACCAACCCAGAAATTCTGAAGCAGCTGGACCATCTCAGCAAGAGCATTGAGAGCATCAAGGATCACATCGGCCAGCCCGCAGCTCACAACACGCACCACTTCTTGAGCACGAAGACAGCATTCGCTGGACACAGTTGTGGAGACGACAAGCGCACCCAAGACCACCAGTATCCTACGAGGAAAACGACTATTACAAGAACACAAAACTTCTGGAAGGTCTGGGGCATATTCAAGGGCAGCGGCTTTACTGGTGATATGATCCCAGACGGCCTGAATCCGGCACAACAAGAACGAATGCAGAAGAACTACCAGGGTATCCCAGAGAAGTTCTACACCAAGACGAAACTTACGGTCATTACCCCCAGAAATGCGGACAGCTTCCTGAAACATCTCCAAGATCACAAGATCACGAGCGTGGACATGCAGGAACACTTCTCGGGAAGCAGCACCTTGTCATTCTGGGCATGGAAGTGCGAATTCTCGGCATTATTCCCAACAGATATGAGATACGGCTGGAACCTCGGACTGAAGGAACACCAGGACATCATTACCAGGTTTCAGAAGGCCATCCGTATCCAGGTGAAACTCTACACGCCAGAGTGCACCCCCTGGTCACAGGCGAGTCAGACGGCAGATCCAGAGAGAAAGGCAGCAAATCGCTCAGCAGATCTTCCAGCACTTCAATGGGTATCCGACGAATGCAAGAACGCGAACCTGGACGGCACGGACTACGTCATAGAGAACCCAGCCAAGAGCGCGATCTGGGAGGAGTCACCCTTGAAGGAGCTGCAGAGCGACGAGCGCATGTACAATAACACCTGCGACCAGTGCCAGCACGGAGCTCAGGACTCAGAAGGCATACCCATCCAGAAACGGACGAAGTTCATGGCATCCTTTCGCATGAGGAGAACAGCAATTCAGTGTCAGTGCGTACGTCCCCATGCTTGGCTCGTTGGAGGCGCCCAGACATCGAAGGCCAAGATCTTTCCAGAGAAGCTGTGCAAGAACATCTTGAAGGACATCGGCAAGCGCATCGAGATGACACTCAAGGCACCATTGGACCTTCTTTTCTGGACGTGCGAGAGGTGCAAGCATGGAAACAAGGCAGGGACACCACATACGAGAATAAAAGGGTGCAGGTTCGATCCCAACCGGAACCCTCCTGGAGTTGCTGGGCCACCACCAGTACATCTTCCTCCAGCTCCTGCGGAAGCGGTAGCACCGGCTCCTGCACCTGCAGCACCGGCACCGGCAGCAGTTCCTGTACCAGAACCAGCGGCAGCAGTTCCACATCCACCAGCTCATGAGCCAGGCTCAGAAGTTCCAGAACCACCACCAGGACTTGATCCACATGTAAAGGAGACGAGTTCTAAGGGCGATACCACGGACCAGCCGAGCATCAGCAGTGAATCACCCAAGAAGGAAATAGTGATCAAGCCCAATTTCGACTTGCAGCGCTTCAAACATCAACTCGAAGAGGCGGCTTCGGATCAAGCACGACTGGCATTGCTCCTGGGATTTCATCTGAAGTTCTGGCACGCTACTCCGGATGAGATGGCGAGACTACTGGCGGCCCTTGGAGTGGAACCGAACATCATCAAGCTCTGCCCACAAGTGGTCAAGGATCTGTGCGAAGGTTGTCGCAAGTATGCCATGCCATTACACCGACCAGCGCTTCGCGCACACATCACGACGAAGTTCAACGAGCGAGTTCAGGGCGACTTATTCTTCCTGTGGGATATGATATGGCTCATTCTAGTGGATGAGCACATCAGATACAAGGTCATTGGAGTGATGAAGGACAAGACGGCCCCAGAGTACCTACGCTGCATGGGAGAATGTTGGATCAGATTCTTCGGGCCCATGGAGACATTCGTATCGGATCAGGAAGGAGCTCTAACCTCGGACCTCGTTGGGACGACGCTGGACAGGTACGCGATCAAACGGGAGTTTGCCGGCACGGACCCCAACAAAGAGGAGAAGAGTACTACTGGATTGGTGGAATCTCACATTCGCATGACTAAGTCAATAGCGCTGAAGAACGAGGTGGCCGCCAAGCGAGAGGGCCTTAACATCTCCAAGGAAACGCTAATGTACGAGGCGGCGATGTCGCAGAACTTACTGCTCAACTTCGGAGGAAGCACGCCCGCCAACGCACTTCTCGGCTACACTCCTAGAGACTTTTACGACGAGAACTCGGCGACCACCATGGCCCATAAGGGCGCGCTCGAGATTTCACCCGACACGTTTGAGTCGAACGTACGTATGCGACTGTTATCCAAGCAGAATGTCCTGAAGACGATCGTTGAAGAACGCCTCGCCATAGCCAACAAGTCTCGACCACAGAAGCTGGACATCGAGAGGATCAAAGTCGGTGACAAAGTGGACTTGTATCGCACACCGAGCAAGAAGGATCAAGAGGGTTGGCGAGGACCATGTGATTTACTACACCTGAAGAGCACAGGAGCGATCGTGGTATGGAATGGATATCCCTACATCGTTCCACTGCGGCACATTCGGATTCATCAGAGACTAACAGCCTGGACCAACAGCTACGAGCGTCAACATACAGCATCTCCACCGTCTATGTACTTGGTCACGGACTATACCGACATGCTTGACATTGTGGAAGGCACGGTTCCGTTCAAGCCGCAGATCGTGGGCATGCTGATTGGCGCCGACGGCAAGATGCGAGCCTCATCCAGTATGGGAGAGACACCTCCCAAGGTCTGGAGTCTAGCTCAGCAGTGCGCAGAGGACGAGTGGGGAATCAAGATCGACGGCATTGTCTTTGGCAGATGTGTTCGACGGTTATATGCGGTTACTGGAACTACTTTCGGACGACAGGTGATCTGGGACTGCACGAGACGCGATCAGTATGTGACAACGGACATCAATCCCAGCAGACAGGTATTAGACATCATCAATGCCATTCCGAACATGAGCGACGTCAATGCGTGCAGTATCCTGTTCTATTCCTTCTCATCAATGACAGAAGACGAGGAAACGAAGAAGTACGTCATCCCCGACTTCTCGGACATCTCGGCGATCGATCCCGACGATGAGAGCATGCTAGACCTACCTCTTCAATGGCCTCTATCACCTGACCAAGACTCAGTGGCGGAAGTACAACAACAAGGAGGACAACCACCGCCACCTGGACCGCCTCCGGCACCAGCAGTGGCAGTACAGCATCCTGGACATGGACATCCTCAAGCAGCAGAAGTACATCCTGGACCTGGACCTCCTGCACCACCAGCTCCTCCAGCAGCTGGAATCCGACTCCGACCCGGGCACGATCAACTACCACTTCCAGCAGGACTGCCACACGGCGGAGGACCACCTCCGGGACCACCACCTGCTCCTGAACGAGCGGTGACAGCGGCTCCAAGTCCGCAGACATTCGACATCAGCGACACGGCATGGCCGGATGGAGACGTCAGCATCATCGAGGCGGACAGCAATATCCCGCCAAGACCACCGTTTCCACCACCAGCTCCGCAGCGAGTTACCTTGCGAGACGACAACAGCTGGAAACGAGATCGACAGGCACTGGACGAATCTCAGCAGAGTATCGAAGTGGATGACAAGAGCATGATCAGTGACGAGCAGTTCGTGCCAGAGTCAGGCTCGGGAGCTCCTCCTCCACCACCGGCGCCGCCGGCGGTTGGCGGGGGACCACTACAGCCACCTCGCGGATGGCTAGTACCTGGTCAGACAACATGGAAGTCAAGAGGAACACTGACAAGGCCAGCACCATACGCACCACCAGTACTACCAGTACCCAAGCAGACGACAGTTCCGAAAGCGACCTCAGTAGCACCGTCATCGACGCCGATCATCAAGGAGACTACTGAAGCGACGCGAGCTCAATCGACACCACCGGCACGACGACGAGAACTTAGCCGACCACCGATCAGAATAAGGAACGAACCTGGCACTTCGAGCTCATCAGGAAGCACGAATGCTCCTGGCGGAACAAGTTCAACTGGGATCCAACCGACTTCCGCGGCGACGACTGCAACACCGGCAACGACTACGGAAACACCTACGACACAATCTCCACCTAAAGCTCCATCTCTATCTTCAGCAGCTCCATCCTCATCTCCTACACCGACAGCGTCGAGCCTTACGCCGACGAAGACCATGGATAATCCTCCAGTAGTGCAAACACCACCTCCGACGAGAGCAGCGGTGAGTTCACCATCGGCATCATCTCCCTACGGAGACAAGAGTACCATCGTGTATGACGGAGGAGAAGAACAAGCAACGGTGGACTATGGACCTGCTGAAGAACCAACGCGCGATTACGGATCACCCCCAACGGCGTCATCGACAGGAAAGTCTCAGCCTGCAAGCCCTGGACTTGTTAAAGAACCAGTTATCCCTCCAGAAGCTGTTAAGGATCTATCTCAAGTGGTTACCCCTCAAGGTGTTCGTAAACATGATCTCTCTCAAGACCTTGAAGACGTACGATTGAAGGTATCACCATCACAACCACCTGAGAACAAGAAGCTAAGGGCCAGCTCAGAACCTCCTGACGGTAAGAGACCACTACCTATCCTGGAAAGATCGCCACCCTTGTTGACGGACACGAAACGCCCGAAGACGATGGAAGGATTCACAGCGTTCGGCGATCAACAACTTAGTATTCACCACGTTCAAGATCGACACTTGGTCAGCGCCTACATGGACAGCGATGAATTAGACGAGTATCAGACGATCATGACCAGCATGGCCCAGGAAGTTTCAGACAACCTCCAGTGCATGAGCGATAACGAGTTAACATGGACGGCGGAAGAAGCACATTGGACGATACCCGGACCGTTCAAGGAGAGCAGAACCTTCTACTTCGACCTGAACACCGGCAATGCGATATTCGCCCAGAACGATGACATTCTGACTGAGGAAGACATCGTCAAGTACTGGCCGCTCGTCGAGGCGGCAGACCGATTGGAATCGAGGTCGTTCATAGACAATTTATGTTTCAAAGCCGTTCATCACAACAACATGGACAGTTCGAATGTGATCGACGCGGTGTGGGTGCGACGTTGGAAGAAGGTCTTCGATAAGTATAACAACATCACGTATATCATCAAGTCAAGGCTTTGCGGTCGAGGTTTCTTGGACGCACAAAAGCAAAACGTGATGAGGCACTCATCGACGGCATCAAGACTCTCACAGAGATTGATTGCATCCCTCTACTCGACGGAGAGCGACATGATCATGGAGACCTGGGACATTTCGACGGCGTTCCTACAGGGACTGAACTACGAGCAGCTGCGTAAGCACGCCAAGCGCATGGGCATCGAGGTTCGTGAACAACGCAAAGTGTATCTTCAACCTCCGGCCAACGTCTGGCGGCACTTTAGGGAGTACGAGAAGAGCAACATCAGGATTCCCGAGACGGAAGTATGTTTCTTTGTATTGCAGCTGCTGAAACCCATCTACGGCACGGTGGACGCACCCTTATTGTGGCAGCTGGCATTATCATTACATGTGTTGGACGATATGAAAGGAGTTCAGAGCGTGTTCGACGATAATTTCTTTATGTGGGTCAAGGACGGCAATATTATGATGGCATGGACGGTGCACGTGGACGACATTATAGTATTGGCGAAGCAGGCATGGTTGTTATGGGGTCTCAATTCCATGGAGAAGCGATTCGGCAAGATCAAGAGACACGAGCTTCCTTTCACGCACATGGGTATGAGCTATGAAGTATTGGGCGAGAGACACTTATTCATACATCAACATGTATTCACGGAAGGACTGAAGAATATCGAAATACCCTTCAAGCTCAAGGACAAGCTCGACCATGAATGTGACGCCAAGTTGACGCACGATTTGAGATCAGTACTTTGTTCACTGTTGTGGCTTTGCCAGACACGAGAGGACATCTATTGCGACGTGGTGCAGCTTCAGCAGATCGTGAGGAAAAGCAATATCGGACACCTGAAGCAGGCCAACTTGATCGTGGACCGCGCCAAGAGGAACATGAAGATGGCGGGATTGCATTTCGCACCATTATCTTACCCGGTCAGGCTAGTATCAGTTGGAGACGCAGGTCACGGCAACACGAAGACGTCCTATCCCCAAGAAGGATCAGCGGTATTTCTCATGGAGGACCACATGTATCAAGTACGTATCGACAAAAAGGACCTAGTGGACCCTAGTGACAACCATCTCCTCGGAGGCTCAACCCATCCTTTGATGATTTCTTCTGGAAAGTCCAAGCGTATATCTCATTCCACGTGCAACGCAGAGACGAATGCCGGCTACAAGGTGAACCAAGCGGCCCAGTTTATTGCATTACGGATGAGCGAGATTATCATGTGTTCAGAGACTCAACATAAGGCCAAGGACATGATGGAGATTTTCGATCGCTCATTGTATCAAGTAAGAATCGACCACTGCACGGACTGCATGGACTTCTGGCAATTATGCTGTGGAGTGAAAGGCGTGCCTTCGGATAAGTCAAGCAGGCTGGCAGTACTGAGCATGCGCGAGGAGAGGCTCAGCGGACGCATCCGCAACTTCATCCACCTGCCCACCGAAGTGGTCATAGTCGACGGACTCACCAAGACGGGCACGTTCAAGTTACTCATGGAACATCTGACGACGGGCCGATGGTATGTGAGGCCACCCAAGGGCAAGTATATCACGATACGACGTATCATACATCAACAGGACAGTTACTCAGAGCAGGACTTGCTAGACCTCAACGAGTAGAAGCTGTGAGGAGAAGAATTCGAATGCAACTACAAAGGCAGCCAACGAATGATATTCAATGGATAGGCCAATGTTTTTTTTATCAAGGTGAAGTTCACGATGGAGGTACTACTGCGGTATTTCATGAACATCGTCGACTACCTGTACTTTGTGAGCGAGGCTTGACTGCCTCCTGTTGTTTGCATGCTGCTGGCTGCCTGCTTGCTTGCCTGTCTCTTAGACGTGAGGTTTGAGAGATTGTGTATTTGTATCGTAGGTGGAGAATTAAAAGCACCTATATCTGTTTTGAGGTGCACCCGCAGCGAATATCATAATTAAACCCATGATATCCGGGACACTAGAACCGGAGCGAAGATTTGGGTCTGATATAGGGCATGAGTAGTACCTGTTCTTATCAGTTGAAAGCATGGCTTTGCTTCGTTTAGAGGACTGTATGACTGTAATAACACCGGGGCTCAAGCTCTTTCAAAACAGAGCGATCTCCGCTTCCCCTTCCTCCCCTTCCTCCCCTTCCGCCCCTTCCTCCCCTTCCCGCCCCGTCCTCGCTCTGCCTCCTCGTCCTCCCCTTCGTCCTCGGTTTTTGTTTCGTTCGACGCGGTCGGAGCGATGGGACGAGTCGCAGCGCGATCAGAGACCGAGGAGGGGAAGACCTCTCCCTCGTCCTCCCCCTCATCCTCCTCCCAATCCTCCTCATTATTTTTGTTTGACGTTGCTCGGATTTCCTGCTTAAGCACGCAGCGTTTTGCAACGGTGCCAAAAACGGCCGCCTTAGGTCAACGACGAGCAGCACATTGCGCCTGGCTGGCACGGCAGGAACCTGAGAGGAGCGCGCAGAAAAAAATGAAAATATAGAGCCCTGAGGGAGCGCCAGGGGAGAGAGGGGGTGCGTCAGCCAGGCGGTGCCAGACTAGAGAGGCCGAGCGAGCGATGACCTTAGTAAAAGCCTTAGGCAAAAACAAATCCGAAACCGATCCGCACGGAGTGTGACGAAATACGCGTGCAGCAAACTGCAGGCACAGACTATGGTGACGGTGTGAGCCCTCGGCTTGCTGCCGTGGGAGCTGTTTCAAGGATCGAAGGTAGTACGCTGCAGCGCTTGGTGTTTCTTTGGAACTCACCCCCTAAATACCCACCCCCACTGGTAGAATCCCCCACACACTCTCAGATTTGTATGTCCAGGCGCGCGGCACTAAAGAGCATGTTTTGCAGCACAGGCGACACTCGCGGCAGGTGCAACATAGAGGCATGTTAGGATTGCGTGCAGAAGGCTGGTTTTGTGAAGGTTGGCCTGTAGTAGAAGCGAACAGTCAACAGCGCTTCAGTAAGTGGGGGATGTCAGAGGCATGATCAGAGGAGGGAGAAGCAGGTACGGCAGTTCTTGGGTTGCAGGCCAGGGCTTTTCTTTTCGCCCCAAATTTCATGGTCCCAGGACACACGTGCTGGTTGAATTGCTTTACGGGTTTAGCACGAACCCTTGAAGACAATAATGGCCTAATGCTGTAGCTGGCCATGTAAAATGGTTGGTCTGTGGGAGGTAAGAGGAACACGGTTGAAAATAAACTGAAGTTGGGTTGGTAAGAGAGATCGTATGTTTTGGTAGAAGTTTGATTCGGTAAAGGTGAGGCTTGAAAGTCTTGCGGCCAATTCCCTGGAGTCCAGAGGGGCCAGCAATACTAAGTGCGCCGCCTCCTGTAGCAGTGGAATGCTTGAGGCGGGCCCGTGCTTAAGATAATGAGATGTAGGACAAGCAACATCGGCTGTGAAAGGGCGAGGGGAGGTAGGAGAGTACATCGTACGCGAGGCGAGCTGAGAGCGCGAGGATTGTGAATACTCTGACTTGGCTGTAGGCTGGCACTGTGCGGGCTAGCTTGGAAGTGTGGCTCTGTTGTAGCACAAGCTGGCTCGAAGTAGACCAAGCGTAGAACTGCCCAGCTCCACCAACGGACCCATCCCCACCGTACCCCCTATGAAGCCCGCATGGTCGGTCCCCGCCTTGAGTATGCTGCCAAGCCGGCACCGCCTCGCCGATGGCAGTGGCACACAGTTCGGCAGTGGCAGCGCGAGTGGAGCCAGGAGAGTGCAGCAAAGACGCGGTAGGACACGCTGTGGTAAGCCAACAGTGGCAACGACACGCGCTATGGGAGGCAGGAGGGTACAGCATCAAAAAACGTATAGGTCGAAAATGCTGGCATGCCCTTGACCAGTTGGTGGCGCTGGGGTTCTCTTTCGGCTTCCTTAGGGGCAGCGAAACTCTTCTGCAACTTTCGCCACCGACTTGGAGGGAGGAGACCACATCAGGTTGCTGATCCGTATGCGTGAGGCAAGCTGGGAGCGTGAAAAGTGTAGGCTATCAAATGCTGTAGGCTGGCACTGTGCGGGCTAGCCTGTCAGTGTGGCTATCATGTAGCACAAGCTGGCTTGAACGTAGACAAGGGTATCACCAACGTCCGCCCCCATCATACCTCGATCTCCCCCAGATTGGACGTGTACATGCAATAGAGAGTGCCTTTCGGGCTCGGAAGCAAGCAGCAACGACGGGAAAAAAGGGGGGAGCCGGGGAGGGAACCCACCGAAGGAGGAGAAGTCAAATGTCCTATGCCTCCACAAGCAGGGGCACAGGGCTTTTGCTTTCCCCAGGAGACAGTGGGGCACGGCCCCTGGGGGGAGGAGGGGTGCTCCTAAAACCTTTGGCACGATATGATATTGGTGAAAGGTCCGTTGACCGCGAGAGTGGGGAATGTAAGAAGAAGCAGGAAGACGCTGACAACAGCAGGATAAGCCTTGGCACTGTGTATGTAATATTGTAGGGAAAGGAAGGGTCCTCGGTCTTGGCCTTCCGCGGCAATTGAAGGGCAGAGAGTAGCTGTCATGGGAGTCGTGAGTGGTAGTGCCCAAGTATGCCAATCTGCGTGGTCGCCATAGTCGTAGTAGACTGGTCCGTCGAATATCTCGTCGGTGGAGTCGGCGTTGGCACGGGCGGTGCCTTGTATACCGTAGGTGCCTGTTCAGCATATACCGCTTGTTGATGCTGAAGCCCTCGCTGTTGAAGATTACGTTGTTGTACTGTTGCTGGGTGTTGCTGGTAGTGTGCTTGGTGACGCCGAACGGTTGCTATGTAATCCAGAAGGCGTGGGTCGTTGTGGCTGTAAGAGTATGGTGCGTGTCAACCTCGACTTGTGTTTGGCCTTGGGTATGCGTGATCGTCGGCACTGGTATTCGTGTTGGTTGGTGTATGTATTCTCGCGTGATTTCGGTTGTACTCAGGAGCAGGGTTGCAAATTTGTTACAGTAGCTGTGCTGTGTCGTGAATACGCACTGGCCAGGCGTACCTCATGATGTCGTCGTAGTCGTGGCACGAGGAAGCCATTGGTAAACGACGAGTATCGCTGGTGTGGTTGCCTCGTTCCTCCTCCTCCTCCTCCTCCTCCTCCTCCTCCTCCTCCTCGTCTCCTCCTCGTCTCCTCCTCCTCCTCCTCCTCCTCCTCCTCCTCCTCCTCCTCCTCCTCCTCCTCCTCCACCTCCTCCTCCCTCCTCCTCCTCCTCCTCCTCCTCCTCCTCCTCCTCCCCTCCTCCTCCTCCTCCTCCTCTCCTCCTCCTCCTCCTCCTCCTCCTCCTCCTCCTCTCCTCCTCCTCCTCCTCCTCCTCCTCCTCCTCCTCCTCCTCCCCCCCCCGCCCCGCCGCGCCGCAAGCCAGTCCGACCTCGGGCACACTCGGCCCGCCCGCTTGCACTCTGCACCTGCCGGGCGGGGCCAGGACGAGGAGAGTTCCGTTCTGGAGCGTTCCCGAACGTTCTGAGAATCGGAGGGAGGAGAAGCGATAACAGCACCACCAGGGGGCCCACTTCCAGCGAGGAGGTCCTTGGTGCCTCCCCGAGCTGGATGCCGGGGATGTCTCGAGCGAGAGGGGGGGACCACACCACCAGGGAGACTCCCCTTGCCTCCTCGCACCTCCTCGCCCTGCTGGTGTTGGTGTCGCCTCTCCTGGATCCCACGGGAGGGCCGCGGCGCCCGAGACATCCTGCAGAGCCGCCAGATCTCAGAGGTTCTCGATGCATCTTGACCCGATGTTGTTCTCGTCCTGGCTTCGTCTCCACCTGGCACGCTGCAGGAAGGGTTCGGGCTCCCGCCCTCGCCGTGCGGGCACACCACGGCGACGGGCTCGGGCCGATTTTTTCGGCGTCGGGGGGCTGGCGCTGCGCCCCGGGGCTGTCAACAAACGTGGCATCGCTCGGACGGGTGCAGTTTTTCTCGGCGGGGACCATCGAGGAGCATATCATATCGGGTCATCATGCGAGAGTAAACGCACGAAACCTAACAGTGCACGGATACCCTGAGCAGGCTGCTGATTCCCTGCCATCTGGCCGCAGCTGGGGCTCTGCGTGTGGGGGGGGGGGGGGGGGTGAAGCCTTCGCCGGCCGCGGGTGGTGTCGGCGCAGCCGTCCCCCAGGTCCCGGCAGCCTTCCAATCTCGATTCCGCTCTGGCCTCGCGCGATCCGGCGTCTGACTCGATCCGCCTTGGCTCCTCCGAGATATGCCCATGCGATGGCGCAGCCGAGTTTTTGAGCCGACGCCTGCGGATTTGACGCTCGCGTCGATCCGATTCGAGTAGTCGACCCGATGATGGTTGCCCTGCCGCCGCGCAGCCGGGCCTCTGCGGAGGGGGCTCGCGCAGCCCTCGCCGTCCCCCTCGTCTCGCCCTGCCGCCCGGCGGGCCCGGCCGGTGGCGCCTCCTCCGGGGCTCAAGGCCGGTGGGCGCCAAGCCGCCGCCCCCCCCCCCTCGCCCCAGGGGCTCGCCTCTGAGCTGGGCCTCGGGGAAGGGGAAGCATTCGGCAGCAAGTCATGGGAGCCTGGTGTGGATCGTAAGTCCGCCTTCAGCGTCGACTGGCGTCGATTAGCGTCTGGGAGTCGATGAGATATTGCCGATTCATCGTCGGCTAGCGTCGACTGGCGTCAATTCGAGTCGATTCGCGTCGATTAGCGCCGATTTGCAAGAGCCGACAA